GTGTGTGTGTGTGTGTGTGTGTGTAAATGTTTGTACCGTTCCAGGTCAGGTGATCTGCAGGCATCTGGTCTGGTGATTTGTCATCATGTGTTTCATCGGGCGAGTCCTGTGATTGGTTGGAGGTGTGTTCGTCAGGAGGACTGTGGTCAGGTGACGCTTGAGACTGGACATCTGAGCTGATGTTAGACTCCGCCTCCTCTTGTTCCTCTTGCTCCTTATTGGCCAGTTCTGTGCACGACAGACACACGAAGATTTTAAATTTATGAATTAAAGGAGATGTGACGTAAAGCTAATTACAGCTAACAGGACAAAGCTAGCAGCTCTCATGGGTTTAGCACAGTGGGGCTCTGAGCTAAATGCTAACATCGGCTATTCTATGGGAGCTAATTCTAATATTGTGATGTTAAGCATGCTAACGTTTGCTAGTACACTACATGTATGTGAGTGTGTGTGTGTGTGTGTGAGTGTGTGTGTGTGTGTGAGTGTGTACCATGCACAGACAGCTCTTTCCAGCGGTCCTTGTTGCTGGCGATGACGCCTGATAGGTGGAGCCTCAGAACCTGCAGGTCAATGGCGGTCAGAGAAAAGTCCATCTGTCCATCATCATTGTTTCCATGGCGGCTGCTGCTGTGTCTCTGCACCGACTCCACGGTAACAGAGCCACTTCCTGTTAAACTGAAACAGAGCAGAGACACACACTGAGGGTCGGAACCAGTGGAGCGTCACAGCCGTGCTTTGGTCACATGTTCTGTTTTTTTGTCCAATCACGTGAAACCGTGAATTCATCTTGTCCAATTACAAGGCTCGTTAACCTGTAGACGGATCTACCGAAACGTTGAATTGAATTTCTACGACTTTCAGGAAACTTCAAGCTCTAGTTTTCAGATTCTCCTGACGTCACGACCGTTGTTAGAGCGAGTGTTTGGTGCCTTCACCCGTTAATGAGTCTGAGTTTGTGTTTTGTCTGAAGACATCGTTACTGTAACTGTCTAACGTCCCGGACTCATTAAATGTCTCGACAGTATCTGAAGCAACAAACCCACCGACACAGTGTTTGTATGTTTATCTTTTCTTCAAGCAGCCGCATGTTGCTGATCTGGTTTCATGTCTATTCAAAGTTATGAAAGTGAAATGGTCCAGTTCAGAAATGATTATCAATACCTGACCTTACAAACAGCAGCAGCAGTAGTAGTAGTAGTAGTACTAGTAGTACTAGTAGTAGTACCTGGACCTCCTGTTTCCAGTTTCTCTGGCCTTCCTATCCTCTTCTATCAGAGGTCCAATCACCTTCTCTGTCGTGTCAATCAGAACACTGAAGGTCGGCTCCACAATGAAATCAATGAAACCTGCAACCAGACGGAGATGGACAGATGGACAGATGGACAGATGGACAGAAGAAAGATGATATCACTGGGTACCAGAGTGTGGACGTGATGCACCTTAAAGCTGAAGAAGACGAGACGACACAGTGAGTCAGGATGAATCACAAGTTAAGAGTTGACGACGCTCGTTGCAATAACTGGTGTGAAATATGAAGAGCGATGGTAGTTTCAGCCAACAGTCAGTATTATCATGTGAAATCTGAAACCTGCGGTGGATCACATTTCATATTATGACTCCCACACCGGCCTGTGGTCGGCTGGTAACAGTTCTTACCTATCTGTGATTGGGCGATCATGGTAGCTTTACGGTCACAGAGAGGAGAAAAGGGAAGACCCAGGTCCACCTCTTTGTCTCCCTGGAGAAGAAACACAAGTGTGAACCCACAAACTCTGGTTCACTCAATAAACGTAGAACCAGCTGACATCAGAGCAGACAAACACACTTTTGTGTATCTTTTGTTGGTGTTTTTGGCTTTCGGAAAAAAAGACACTCCATTCCTTCGGTCTTGTACGTGTGTGTTGTGTTGTGTGTGTGTTGTGTTGTGTTGTGTTGTGTTGTGTTGTGTGTGTGTGTTGTGTACACACCTGTCTAAAGAACTCCTCCATCAGACTGTGGGTCCAGCGGTGGTGCAGCGGCCAGGCTTTGGCCGGATGACTGATGTCGGCAGCGTGAAGCATCAGAGACAAAACCTTCACTTTGTCGATGCTGAGAGAGAAATAAAGTTTAAATGTGAGAATCTTCTTCTTTACACTTAATGATGAGAATGGTTCAGTGAATCTGACACACACACACACACACACACACACACACACACTCACACACACTCCTGTATGAAGGTGTCTGTTTTGTATGTGGATCACGGTGTGTTCTCCAGAGCAGCATGTCGACAGGCTGATCCAGCATCTTCCCCCAAAACCTCATCCAAGCATGAGTTGGGAGCATGACAGCTGCCCCCCCCCCCCTCTCACACACACACACACACACATACACACACACACCTCCACACCACTGACGAACAGAGGGCGGAGGCTCTGTTCCTGGGCCCCCCCACAGGGACTCAGAGACCAGTCTGGTTCAGCAGCCTGCAGGACCTTATGTTGGACCGTGACACCAGACTCCCACTGATGATCAGATGGACGAGCTTCCCACCGTCTGTCCCCAGTGAGCTGGCCCACACAACACAGGCCTCAAGCTTTAAGACATGTCCTCCTACTGCACTGAGCTCTCGTACCTTCCTTATTTACACTTTGGCCGTTTTATACTTGAAGAACATTTTTACAGTTTGGTTTCATTAGTTTCAATTATCTCCAATAAGAACGTTTTAGTTCCCCCCCCCTCCTCTGTGAGGGCTGGAGCTCGGGCAGCCTGGGTACTGACGCAGGAATAAAACTTCCAACACAACACATGAATAAAAACAGATGAAACAGAGAATCCATGACAATGATTGGAGAGACATTTTATAAAAGAGTCATGTGGCTGCAGAGGGGGGGGGGGTCACCTCAGCAGTACTGACCTGTGTGTCTGACTCAGGGAGTTCCTCATGGTCTTGATCTGCTGGAAGTGACAGGACATGTCTGTGGACATCACCATCTCTATCACCAGAGACCTCAGCTCCCTGTCAACCATCAATACCATCAGTGATCGATCACCAGCACAGAGCCCTTAGTGATGACTCATCAGTGTGTGTGTGTGTGTGTGTGTGTGTGTGTGTGTGTGTGTG